TTAGGAGCATTTGTTCTTGTAGAGGACCTGGATTTGGTTCTTGGCCCAACGTGGCCACTCACAACCACCTTTAGCTCTGGTTCCAGGTGATCTGTAACCCTCTTATGGCTTCCTTAGGCACTGCATGCACATTTTAGACATGCCAACAAAACACTCACGCACATAAAATAAAAATTAATAAATCTAGCCGGGTGGTGGTGGTGTACACCTTTAGTTCCAGCATTTGGGAGGCAGAGACAGGTGGATCTCTGAGTTCGAGGCTAGCCTGGTCTACAGAATGAGTTCCAGGACAGCCAAGGCTACACAAAGAAACCCTGTCTTGAAAATCCAATAACAATAATAATAATAATAAAAAAAAATCCTTTTTTAAAACTGAAAAGAAAATGGTATGAGAAATTGACGTTTCCTTTAAACTGGGAGATGGGACCCACATGACCTGCATTCAAAGACAGTGACATACCTGAGACAGGCCAAGGACACCACTTGGGGGCTAACTAAGCATTGGGGGGCTCAAGAGAATATTTATTTTCTAAAATTATCAGGGACCCCAGAAAGTGAAGACATTCACATAGTGGACATTACCATGAAAGCAGCCTGACCTCAGGAACCCGCAGGGATGCCCAGTCCCACCTGGGTAGCGGCGTGGCCCCAGGGCCAGGGACACTCCGGTTGTCTCTGGGAGTCTTTGCACATCCAGTAAAGGGAAGGAGAGTTGTGAGAAAGGGGAAACTGAGAACAGGAAGGCGGCACTCAGTGCCTGGCCAGCTTCCGGGATCCACAGCCCGCAGGCCTCCACCCTTTCTGGCTCACATCTTGACTATTCTGCCAACAGCTTACTAATTAAGCACAAGGCTTGATGTTTGCGAGAAGGAATGAGAGCCTGCACTGATTAACGACTCCAACAAATCAGAGGCGACGGCATTGGGCTCTGTGATCGCGCTGCGTGGCGAGGAGCTTTTCATCGGGGCCGCAGCGCTCTGCCCCTTGTCATTCAGCTAAGAACGTGGGGTCAGGACCACAGAGCCACCCACGGAGCCTTGCTGGTGCATACAAAGTACACGCCACTTCTCTTTCAGGCTATTCAGGGTGACTCTGATGTCCAAAACACAGCTGTGCGCCACCGAGTCTGCGGATGCCAGTTCTGCAGGGAGGGGTGGTGCTGTCTTCTGGATGGAGAGTGGACGGAAAACTCTGTTATCAGGAGCGGTCTCTAAAGCACGGCGGTTACAGTTTGACTCTATGGCAGGTGTCTACCTTAACCCAACTTCAGCTTTAACAGTCAATTCCAATGCAAAAGCAGTTAACAGACTGGATGATGTGAGAAGGGGGGAACACAGAAAGCACAAAGTCTCCCAGCCGCTCCCGCCAAGCACCTTCAATGGAGAACTCTAATGTAACAGTGTTCCATCTAATTTGGCCCAGGGATGGAGGCCGGACCAGGTGACTGCTCCCTTCCCATCCTGGGAGATGACCGCCTCTTTGAATTAAGCAATAATAGCCCATTTGACCATTCTCTCTATTGATTAAAAACCACCAAGCTGTGAGGCTCACAAACCTCCTACGAGATCACTGCAGATCTGGCTGCTTTAATTTGATTGATGTTCATGTTGGATCTAAATGTGGCCCTTGAACAATGAGAAAGTAATAATGTACTGCGTTTGGAGCCATTTTCCTTTTCTTAGAAAACACGCCCTTCCAGCCAAGCTAACCAGGTCCTTTACTTAGCAGCCGCATGCTGTTCATAACCAGGTCTGAGAGACAATCAAGATGGAGGCAAAAAGGCAAAGGCTCAGGGCTCAGAATGGAATGGAAGCATATGGGGATGACGTGGAGGGCTTCCCAGGACAGCTACTCTTTGGTGGGGGCTCAGCCACTCATGGGCTGGTGTGCCATTACTAGCACCTTCAACCATCAGTTTGGGCAAGTTCTATAGTCCATGTACCTTCGTGTGTGTGTGTGTGTGTGTGTGTGTGTGTGTGAGAGAGAGAGAGAGAGAGAGAGAGAGAGTGAGAGAGAGAGATGGAACCTGTGTTTTTGAACCTGGTTTTTTGTTTTCGGTTTCTGGGGTTTTTTTTGGGGGGGGGGCGGTTGCAGATTCTTGGAGGCAGTGAGCTCATCCAACTAAATTAAGTCGTCACTAGCTGCTGTGACAGGCTTCAAGCAGCCAGCAGACACAGCACATTCCAACCAGAGCAGTAAGGCAGGATTTAAGGGACTCATTTCCCACAGATAAACGGCAGTGACGCACGCTCTGTTTTATGTCCTCCTCCGTCCAAACGCACAGGAAAGATACATGACCACTGCCTGCCCTCCCGATTCCCACAGAGCCACGAGAAACATGGATCATCCTTGGGCACTGCAGAGAAAAATGAACTGAGGAATCCCAGGCTAATATCCTGGGGAGAAAAGGTTAAAAACGGGAGGTTAGGCACACAGCAAGTGCTCTTCACCCACGGATGAAGTCAGTGATGTCCCGAGTTTTGCTGCTGAGTTTGAATGTACTCGGAGTAAACCAAAAAAACAGATGACACAATGCATCAGGTAAGAGTGGTTCTCCCAATGGCAGCCAAGAAAAGCTGTCTGTCTGCCTGTCCTCCTCGCCACTCACTCAACCAGAGTAAAAATTTACGCCTTCTTGGCATGCATTCCTTAAAGATCACTTCTTTCCCTTCTCCTTCTTTCCCTTCCTTCTTCCATCTTGTCTTCTATGCACCCGCTCTCCGTTTGCCTTTCATTCTTATTGGGTCCAGCTCTCCTTCTTTATATCTTGCCAAACTACTTTCAATCCACTCTCAAAGCAGAATACAAACAAAGAAAAGACGTGATTTTTTTCCCCCCACACTAAATATTGGGGGCAAGCGGCATCATAATGAGTATTCTCAGAGAGATGATAGAGTTTTGGGGCAATCACTATCCAGACTTGGCAGGCATTCCAGAAAACCAAGGCTGCATAAAGCCCTTCCTTACAGGAGCTGTTCTGTGTCACTGGTGTCATGTGAGCCACTGTGGCGTCCACTGGCCTCCAGAGGACCCTGTCCCAGGAAGACCACATTTTCAATCTTGTTTAAATAATTGTAACCCTAAACCCAACAGCAGGAGGCAACTTGTAACTATGAAGCTAGTTTAAAGACGGACAGATAGACAAGCACACGTTATTAAACAAGTCATAAGCAACGAACGCAAATGACATAGAGATTAATTCTGCTCTAAGAGATGCAGAGATACTGGCTGAAGTGGACAGGGCCAGCATCCAAGTGGGACTGGAATTGATAAGGCACCCATTATTAAAAAAAAAAAATCACTGAACAAATCAGCTGCTTTGTGCCCTGCCCACAGAGAAGGGTACCCTGACCAGCAGGCATGACTGTACCCATCTGCTTGGCAGGAACAGTGTGTTACTATGAGGACTGTGTGGGCTGTCTAATATAGCCAGTGAAGCTCATCCCATTTTCCGAGCCTGTGCCCGCCACGCAGCCTTCCAAAAGTAATGGGGCTTGCTTGCTTTCTTTAAAGATTTATTTTATCTATATGCGTGCATGCATGTGTATGTGTGTCCGTGTATGGATGAGAGAGACAGACACACACACACACACACACACAGAGAGAGAGAGCGAGCAGGTGGGAAGGCTTCAGAGGAGGGCATCAGACCACGTAGAGCTGGAGTTAAACAGCGTGGTTTCTGGGAACCAAACTCGGAAGAAATAGATGTCAGTGCTCTTAACCATGGAGCCATCTCCCCAGCCCTCAGTAATGGGGTCTTCTAAGTGATCTGCCCTGAGCGGGAGATGCCAGGACCCCCCCACTCAGAGCATTCCTTTCTCCGGAAGCTGATGGGTTGGCATTCCACAGAAAAGCCTCGCATGAGCTCCGTCTGTCTGTCTGTCTGTCTGTCCGTCTGTCCACCTGCCCGTCTGCCCGCCTGCTAGCCTGGATAGGTCCTTGAGGAATGGACAGTGATGGTAAGCACGGCCAGAAGATCTTCCAGAAAGAATGGAGCTGTGAGTCCAGTGAGGTCTGCCCGTAGTAAACCTCAGGAGAACTCTCTCCAGCTTGGTACACTTGTCTCTCAGAATAGGCAGGGATGTTAGACTGCTTTTAGAGAAATGATCTCTCATCCAGACAACTCTTTCCCACCTAGATCATACCAAAGGCATGAAAAAGACATGAACAGGACTGAAGAGATGGCTCGGGAGTTAACAGTGTGTACCTCTCTTCCAGGACCCAAGTTGGATAACCAGCATCCATGCCAGGTGGCTCACAACATCCTGCAACCTCAGCTCCAGGGACTCTGACACCCTCTTTTGGCCTCCACAGGCATTGCACTCATGTGTGACACATTCACACACACACACACACACACACACACACACACACACACACACGTAAATTAAAAAACAAAAACACGTGAAGCATGGAACTGCACCTGAGACCCTAGCACTTTGGGAAGCAGAGGAGGATTGTAAGTTCAAGACCATCCTGGGCTACACAGCAAATCCTCATCTTAAAACCTCTCTTGTTTCAAAAATAAAAAAAAGATATGAAGCAGAATCTATGGCTTAAAAGAAATAGTAACACAAATGAGACCAAGCAAAAACAAAGTTAAACAAACAAAAACAAAACAAAACAAAAATAAGACCCAGGGATAAGTTATAAAGACTGCTATAAGACAGAAATTATTAATTTCTTATGATTATTAAAAACCAAAGCAGAAAACTCAAGTATACCAACTCCAGCTGAAAATGAATTTCACATGTAACAATGATCGCTTAAAAAAGAGAACAGGGGGAATTTTTCAAAGTGTGCAGGAAGAAGGATCTCACCGGATGAGCTAGTCAACAAAGAAGTCTAGCTACACAAGCTATTGTTCCACCCACCATCCACACCCATGAATCCTTCTCCCGCTCCTCTCCTGACATCTCTAAGAGTAAACAAAGACACCTGGCGCCTACTCCCCTCCCAGCTAAGCCCTCCTGAACCTGCCACAGTGCTGGCAGACTGACCGTCAGGGCCTGGATCTCCTCCTCTGCTTCCGCCGTTGTCTCCTCCAGCTCTGTCTTTGCCTGGCGGAGCTGGCCCTCCAGGGCCGCCCTGGCCGCCTGCAGGGCCGTCAGCTGGGACTCGCGCTCCTGCAGGGACAGCTGCAGCTCTGTGAGCTGGCGTTTCAGCTCCAGCTTCTGCTCCTCGTGCTCCAGGCTGACCTGAGGAAGGAGAGAGGCTGTGAAGGAGAAGCAGAGCCTGCAGCTGAGACCTGGTCTTGGCCAACAGCTCGGCCTTGTCAGAGGGTCCATGTGCATCTCAGAGCAACAGCACTGAGAAATAAACACAGCAGGATGTGCAATGAACTCTCCCATGGGTTCTGCCTCCATAGATTCATTCAACCACGGACTGAAAATATTCAGAGAGAGACTGTGTCTGTAGCGGGCATGCCTGAATACATAACACATACAAAATTGTCATCTTCCCCTAAGCAGGAGAATGAAGATTTTGGTTTTACTTTTTTCTTTCTTTCTTTCGATTTTTCAGGAACTCACTCTGTAGACCAGGCTGTCCTTGAACTCAGAGACCCACCTGCCTCTGCCTCCCAAGTGCCAAGATTAAAGGTGTGCACCACCACCACCCAGCCAGTTAGCTTCTTGGACAGCAATAAGAAGCAACACTGCATAGCAATCTTGTTTTGTGTGACCCAAGGCACATGTGAGATGTGTGTAGGTTATATGCAAGTGCTTCCTTATCTTCGAAAGGGCACTTGAGCAGTTACGGGTTTGGGTATCACTGAAGGGAGTCTTAGAGCCGTGCCCCGATGACCATCTCTAACTCACAGACATTCAGATGCAGCCACAGGCTTGGGTATCATGGAGGGGAATCCTAGAGCCGTGCCCCAATGACCATCCCTAATCACAGGAACTTAGATGAAGTCACAGGCTTGGGCATCATGGATTGCCCCAATGACCATCCCTAACTCATAGACACTCAGATGCTTAGGAAGGCTTCCAAAGAAAGATAAGACGGTGGGAGTCTCGGATGGAAACTCTAATAATCATCCTATTAATAACAACGATACCTTTATAATTAGAATGCAAATGCCACAAGGGGCTGGATTCTATTTCTCCTAAGTGTTCTTAAGCTGACTTATTCCCATTAGATAGTCTACATGAATGTCCTATTTTGAGGTAAGCACTCTTCCGCCAGCCCAACCATCCACTCAATATTTGAGGTATCCATTTTAGAACTTTTGTTTGTTTGTTTGTTTGTTTGAGACAGGGTTTCTCTGTGTAACAGTCCTAGCTGTCCTGGAATTAGCTCTTGTAGACCAGGCTGGCCTCGAACTCACAGAGATCCATCTGCGTCTGCCACTGCCTGGGATTAAAGGCGTGTGCCATCACTGCCTGGCTCATTTTAGAAAAAAATTAATGAGCCATTTATGCAAAGAGGAAGACATGGAGAAGAAAGACAGTCTCCACCTTTGTGTGGAGAAGAGAGATGAAGCCAGCCATCCTCATTCTGTTCTCGAGTGTAATAGCTGGACATGGAAGGACGCCGTACAAACAGCAGAGGTGTGGTAGCTGACTCCAGAACTCTGAAACTCTGCTACAAATTCACAGGAGAAGGGCTGACGTGAAGCGGGCTGGAGAGATGGCTCAGCAGTGAAGAGCACTTGCTGCCCTTGCAGAGGACCGAGCTCAGTCCCCAGCACCCACATCAGGCAGCTCCATGGGATCCGACATCCTCCACTGGCCTCAGTAAGCACAGACTGATTCCACAGAGCAACAAGCTTCAGGGGACACTGATGGCCCAGACGAGCTACCCAGGCAGAGCCAATTCAGTAAGATGCACTTATATGTTAAGGCAAAGCGAGTGACTTTAGTTCCAGGAGATCTGACAGTTTCTTCTGGCCTCTGCAGGCACTGCAAATGCATGGCACACATTCACACATGAACAAAAAGAAAACTAAATCGTAAAAATAATAACAATTTACAGGAGTCAAATCAGATGGGAAAGGACTGGAGACATAACCCTGGGTTTTGCTTCAGCCTAGCACGCACAAGGTCCTGGTAGTTCAACTGGGACTTTTTCCAGACAGGGAAAGTGAGGCATCCAACCTGACCAGCATGGACAAAGTCATCCCAGGACCATGCCGAACCAGTTAGACAAGCTTGCTGTAATCCTAGGCTATCTTTGGGACTAACAACAAGGGTACAGAATAAACTCAGCACACCCACTGGGGGAAGTGGGGGACATATCCAGCAGAGAAGGTATCCCAGAAAAGGTGACAACCAAGTCCCAGGTCACCAGAGCAAAGAGAAGAAAGAACTGCAGAAGACGTGAGACTAATTGAATGGGGTCGGGAACAAAGGACAGAGGAGAGCTGAGTATCTGTGGTGTTTGCAAATGGGAGCATCACCAGCGACTCCAGCCCAGAAGAGGAAGAGCATCAGAGCAGGGAGGGTGGGGGGACTGGACGGGGACATGGGAGAGGGGACACAGCTCAGTATTAACATACTAACACGCTGAACTTCACCCTCATGGGAAACGCAGGTGCAGTGGTCTAAAGTCCTCCGCAACACCGCCTCAAAAACTCAACAGCAGAGCGTGGTTGAGCCTAGATCTGTCAGTCCTCAACACGTCAGTGAGAGCTGAAGCCAAGAGTCCAGGGTCCTCACGTGACAACAGTGAAGCTGATGTGACCACAGAGCTCCCCAAGAAGCTGATAAGGGAGGTGTTACCGCTCCCTCCACTCGGGGACAGGCAATTATGCAAATTTTACAGTTTAAAAAAATACAAAATAAAAAGATGGTAGGGCTGGCACTCGAACCCAGGAAGCATGGTAGGAGTTCATGTTTGCAAACACAATGCCTTCCTGTTTGTCTCATTAAAATGCCAGCTGTCAGTGCAGGCTGGGACTCTACCAGCGAGCCTGCAAACTCCTCAGATGTCCACTGGCGAAACCCTGAGACACAGGCGACAGTGAGGCAAGGAGAAATCTGGTAGCAAAAGGCTGGGCACTTAAAGCAGAACCCAGAAGTCCCGAAGGTCACAGAAGGAACCACCACAGCACACTGGGACCAAGGAGAAGGCTCAGGGCCCTTTAAGGTGAAGCAGATTTGAGGCTGAGGTCTCTGTCCTGAATCTCACACCAGCACATTGTCCAGAGAAGATGGACTCCCAGGAAGAATGAGAGCCCTGAGCCTCTTATGAAACATTTTAAGTTTCTCCTACCGTCCCGGGGGTGGGAGAAGCAGTGAGCTATTAAAGAAAGAAATGCCAACAAGCTTCCCCGAGGACGTGGTTACCCAGAGGAGCTACTGCAACTGCAGGAAGGCGGTCTATGTGGAGAGGAAAGGTGAAAGACAGCTGGCTCACCAAAGCTGAAGGCGCCTGCCTGTCTGGGTTGTCTGCACTGACACCCTTAAGGCTGACTCTACTGGGGAAAATCAAAGTGTAGCCCGGATAGTCCAAGTGAGACCGATTCTCCAAACCAATCCCACAGACTACTCCCTACAAACAAACAAAAGAAACTAAAAAGCTACAGACTCCATGCCCCTTCCAATTCCCTTTTAAAGATGATAAAACAGCCTCTGCGGCTCCTGCGGGAGGCTGAGACGGGCTGGTCGTGGTCTCACAGAACTTACAAAAGACTGGAGATGACGCCCAACGCGCACTTTAAGGCTCTGGATGATGCTAGTGGAGGGAACCGTACCTTGACAAGCCCTGGAAATGGAATTTGTCTTTGGGGCCCAGTTAAATCAGACATGGGTAACCATGCCTCCTCTGCAGTGCAGTCCTCCAATGCTCCTGGTTTTCCTCCATCAGGCGAACCTTAACCTGGTTGTCTTTTAACCCTCCTGTGATTATGAGACCGACCTCAGCCTCAATCATAGGCCTGCAGCCTGCCCATGCATGAACTGTGCATCTCGTGGCCCTCATTAAATCCTGCTGAAGGGGGAACTGTAGGACAGATGCTACAATCTTACACGACTCCCGCAGAGCCCTAAAAGGGAGAACCGTCACCACACATGCTTTAGAGATAAGGAGCCGAAAGCACAGACATACGATCTATGAACAGAAAACTAGGGGGCTGCCAAGAGGGCTCAACAGGTTAAGGGGTTTGCAGCCAAACCTGAGCAACCTGAGTTTGATCTCCAGAGGCTTACATCGTAGAAGGAGAAACTCAAACTCCCACAGGCATGCTGTGGAGTGTGCAAACATCCATGCGCACACACGCAATACTGTTCTATAAACTAATAATAAATAAAGGCAAATTCAAACCTGGAACCACATGGCCCACTCTGTATTCTGTGTCAGCACGCGCAAGGCCTCCAGTGTGTATTGATCTACGCTTGGAAGCTGGCTGGCTCAGGGACTGGATGCCCCCAGTGAAACCCTTCACCCTCACCTCCCTCAGCCTCGTCTCCAGCTCCAGCAGCCGGCTCTTGTCGCTGTGGTCCTGGTGGCTGATCTTCTCCAGCTGCTCCTCCAACTTTCGGTTCTGGGCCTCCAGTTTCCCGGCCTGTGTCTCCAGGTAAAATTTCTGCTGCCTGAGTTCTGAAATCATCTCTTCCTGGGCCTTCCTGGTGGTGGGGAGGGTAAAACAAACAGACTCATCAGAGGCAAGCATGTCTCCCTGGTACAGCAGGTAGAAATGGGGTGAGAAGGTACATCTTCCCTGAGTAGACTGCACTCATCTCAAGGTTATTGCCCCTCCTAATCCGGCCTCATAGGCATGGGCACAGCATGAGGAGCCAGGGCCCTTAAGTCTGAGTTCCTTGTCAACGCGATTAAGTATGGCCAAGCAACAGATGCTAACATTTCAATCCTTTGGTAGACCTTGTTGTTTGTTTCTTTTAGAGCCTGTATACAGAGGACTCTCTTCGAGAAGGGGGAGAGTTCACAATGCACGCTCTGTGAAAGATGCTGCAATCGCGAAAAGACAACTTTGCTCCTTCTAGAACTGTGATGCTACCTCACCTTTCAGCCAATTGTGACAAGTATCAAAACCGAGAACCCAAGACCAGAGAGTAGGTGGCCCAACCAATTCATAGTAAGATGGGAGTGTTTCCAAAGGTCTCTGAAGGAATATGCCGAGGGAAGACATTCCTCAGGACTGTAAATTCAGGCAAGGAGGCTTGATTTATAAACTTGGCCTGTCCTTGCTGACCTCCGAGGCACAGCTCCCTATAGCAGGATGTATGGCTGAACTGGGTGCACACAAAGTCACCTCCTGCTGATTAACAGCAGGCCAGGATGGGAACAGGGACAGCAGCTTTCCAGAAACAAACTCTAGCCAGCTTCCTCAGTCACAGGAAACACTCTGTGGTCTGTAGGAATCTGAGGTACCTGATAATATGTGATGCGTACCATGCTGGTGGTGGCACACATCAATCCCAGCACTCCGGAATCAGAGGCAGGCAGACCTCTGTGAGTTCAAGACCAGCCTAGTCTACAGAGAGCGTTTTAGGTCAGCCAGGACTACACAGAGAAACCCTGTCTCAAAAAACCAAAAGAATGCCTGACTCGAAAGAGAGGCCACACAGGGGTGAGACCATTCAAAGGAGAGCAAAACTACACAAGTGTGCACAACAAGGATCAGCCGACGCACACACGTGACTTAGCCTGTGACGGTTTCCATCAGACAGAAGAACAGGCTTTCTGGTGCAGGAGAATTGTCTGTATTCTGTCAATCATGTTTTAAATAAATGCTGATTGCCCAGGCAGGAAGTATAGGTGGGAAAACCGAACAGGGAGTAGAAATGATACAAGAGGAGAAGAATTCTGGGAAGGAGGAAGTTGATTCCTCCCACTCCTGCCCAGACTCCTAAGAAGCAGGATGTGACCTGCCAGCTGAAAAAGGTGCCGAGCCATATGGCAAAAATAGATAAGAATAATGGGTTAATATAAGCTACAAAAACTAATAAGAAGCCTGACCTAATGGGTCAATCAGCTTTATAACTTACAGAGATCTCTGTGTGATTTTCTTTGGCGCTAAACAGCTGTGGGGTACTGGGCAGGACAGAAAACCCCCAACAAACAAGCCAGCCTTCATGTTACAGAATCGATCATGTCACAACTTTCTGTTCCAGGAGCCGAGGCAAGTGCAGTAAACTGCTTACATGTTCCTCTGGGTGAAGAGACTGCTGTTTGCCGCAAGCTTGTTGGCCTCAGACAGTTCCACAATCCTCTGCTCCAGGGATCTGATCTTGGAGTCCATAGCGTTGATCATCTGAAACACAGGTGACCCCTGACACCTCACACATGGACAGTCCTATCAAAAAGGGGTGAAGGTGGGCCTTGGGAGCCACTGAGAATGTCCTTAGTGGGACAGGTGGGTTGGCCAGAGGTAGTGAAAGACTCCACTAGGCTGTACCCTGAGGTCACAGGCGTCATTGCTCAATGGATGGTATTCATCAATGGATAAACTGATGAATATGAAAGATATTCAGTTGTTTTTCCAACTGAAGTCACTGTCTCCACACCAAGTGGCCTGTATCAAAATCACCTAGCAGGAGCTCTCAGGGAAGCGGCCACCCTGCAGAGAAACAGGCCTCTTACATCTCGGTGCCGTTTGTACACAACCCGGGCCTTTGGGAGCTCGAACATACAACCACATAAACATTATAACGCATTTCTCCACATTAGCATTTCCTCAATTTAGCTAGGAGTGGGGTCAGATAAAAATACAACTAGGGGCTGCAGTGGTGGCACACGCCTTTAATCCCAGCACTCGGAAGGTAGAGGCAGGAGGAGCTCCGTGAGTTCTCTGTCAGCCTGGTCTACAAGAGCTAGTTCCAGGACAGGCTCCAAGGCTACAGAGAAACTATCTCAAAAAACAAATATATACCTTGGACAGGTCCCTCCTGTAGAGAGACTGGGGAGGAGGCATCAAACCCAGCGTCCCTATGTATGAGAGGCAGGTGCTTGAGCTGTGCTCGGCTACAGTCCTTGCCTTGGGGATTCTGGGGTCGAAAACCCCCATGAGCATCTGGGATGATATGGATGGATTTACAGGTATTACAGGCCAGTCCCATGACCAGCAAGTTTGAAGGGAGAGAAATCAGTAAATTTTAAAGGAGAGAGTGGCGTGGGAGCCTGAGGGCCACCGGGTGCTGTCCAGAGGCACTTTAAAGGGACCCTGAGGTGTCAGTCATTGGAGAACATAAATCCAGCCACTGTTCTTTGGGGAACGAAGCTTCCTAGTACCCACAGACCCTGTATGATGCCACAGAGAGAACATGTTACCGGATGAAATGGAGTGACTCTCGGCCTCGCTGGAAACCCTTCTCGGGAAGGTGGCCTGGAGTCTTGCTACCTACCGCCTTCTGCTCGCTGAGGATTTTGCCCTTCTCATGGGCCTCCTCTTCATGTCTCTGCATCATGTTCTCCAGGCTCTCCTTGTCGGCCAGGTCTTTCTTTATCTGATTGTCCAACACCTACGGAGACATAAGATGTGAACATCCCAGGAAGCTAAACTGGGGGAGGAGGGGAAGAGAGGCAGCAGAGGCCCAGGCCTCCGGACTCCAGGGCAAAAAGAAGGTGAAACCCGAGCAGAGTCTATTCATTCACCAAGATGACTTGAAGAAGAGAACATCGCCACCAAATGCCCAAAAACAGGTGGACGTGAAGGAGAAGTCTGCTGGGAAGTCGTGAAGCTCCAAAAACCGGAGAGCTGTGCCCAAACCAAGAAAGCTGATTCCAGCATGAGGGAAGAGGGAGCGCTCAGTGCCTAGCCCTAGACAGGGAAGCGCCTAGCATTTGAGAACATTACCTGGGTGCGGGGGGGGGGCGTCCTTAGCAGTGGTTTTCAAAACATGCTTTGCTCCTAATTTGTACAAAATGAATTCTGAATACTCCCAAGCCATGCATCTCAGAAGGAAAGGAGATGGAAGGGCCACAGAGTCTAAGCGCCTGGAGCTGAGGTTCTGATACAGCCAACGACAAGACGATGTTGCCCACCAGTGTGTGGGTGGGACAGATAATATCAAAGACAGGGGGAAAGATCCTTTTTCCCTCTGATATAACCAGGATTAAAAGCCCCTGTAAAAAGATACTGTTCTCAGGAAGAGAGAAATGCTGTGTTCTCAGAGCTCAGGCTGTTACTGTGAGCACCTAGTCCCAAAGAGGAAAAATAGAACAGTAACGGTGCCACCAACCACCAGTTTGATCCAATGTTCTGCAAGGCACTTGACCCTCCAAATCACCAAAACCCCGGGGACAGAGAGGAAAGATACTGAACTCCCCGAGCCTTTGACCAAGCAAGAACCTATGCTCCTCGCCACAAAGAATTCACTTTGCTTTTGTGAATAACACCACTGCCATCAACATCCATCAGAAGACTGGAAATAAAGCTGTTAGAATGGGGTCACAGATGGGACCTGGAACATGCCTTTCCCACAATGTCTATTGTGAGGGGCCCTCTATGGCTTCTGGGGACATTGTCCCTAAAAAAGAACTAGTCAGCGGGGAAGGGGTCCACAAGATAAAGGAAAGAACAAATATCAAAGAGGGCTTTCAACTAGAAAAAGAAAGTGGAGAAGCCCGGAAGGTGGCAAGCAGGGTCATGAGGGTTTGGAGCACTCAGTGGGGTAATAAAGTGACCGTTCTGTTGGATGTCTGAGGATGATTCTAAAATTATGAGCAAGAACACAGTGGATCCGGGGTATGATCAGAGCTACGACCAAAATGGCTTTTCAGAAGCTGGAACCAACAATGCAACACAGAACTGTTCAGCGGGAACAGTTTGTCTGGATCCCAGTAGAGAAGGCAGAAGAAAACAGCTTTTCTGGAGCATTTCCTGGGGTCTATAAGATAAAGTTCTGTCTAGCTAGAAGGGACCAGAGACTGCACAACACCCAGGATGCCCAGGCTAAGGAAGCCCCCTTCTCCAGGGTGCTAACGCAAAGGAAGATGGCTGCTCAGAATGACTGCTCTAAATCAGATCTCGACCTTGGCAGCGATGGGTCCTGATACAACTGCACGGTGACCAAAAGGGACGTGCCGTCACCCAGAATGAAAGCATCTTGGCTTTGACAGGGTTTGACTGGCAGGGGACAGAGATGTAAGGCAGACGTGGCTTTTGATGGGCTTCAGTTTCATCATTCAGACCACACAGTGGATTCCACAAGGGGGTTACTGCCTTACACAGGCATGCTGGGAGATGATTGTATACAGCCTCAATCCGAACATTAAAGTCTGGAAACCACTACAAATTCTAAGCTAAAAGGTGAGCTCGATAAATTTAAGAGGCCATATCTGGACATTTTCCTACAGTCGTTTAATGAAAAGTAACTGAAAGTTGCCACAGGAAAGAGAGCGTGGCAGGGCGATGACGGGTGGCGTCTGGCTGAGGACGGACATGTTGGACTCGCCGAGAGAGGACCTCTTAATGCTCAGGATGCAAGCCAACCCAGAACAGGGTCACCACAGACACCAACAGCCTCTTGCAATGACTGGGCAAAGAAACGAACACATATGATAGAATGACCAAAGTCATGTGACCGGGGCTCAGTTTTCAGGAGTGGGGGTGGGAGTGCTGACAAGAGAAAGAATTTCCGACCAAAAGCTAAGCAGAAGCAGACAAAGAAAGAACTACTAAAACAAAGCTGTTTCTATCTGAAGGCATTTGCTGACCCAAGTGAACCGAAGCTCCTGTCTCATAGCCTCACGTATGAGAGAAGACTGAAGTCAGTTTCCCTTAATGATGCACCAAAGAGAACAGGCAGCTTGACAGATATGCAAAAGGGAACAGACATTGTGAGGGAGAAAAAGAGAGGGGTGCAAAGCCAGTCTTCAACACACCAGTCATCAAATATACATGCTCAAAAAATGACAGACCTGAAAATGAATACATAGAATCAAAAGTTATCTTTCATAATCTAGTAAACTTGGGAATAAAACAAATAGCATGTCTGCCTAGAAATAAAACATGCTCCTGAAATTAAAACCTCAACAGGTCTGTCAGCAGTTTAGACACAGTTAAAAGAGGCTTAGCCAAGTGGAAAGCAAGGCAGTAGAAGTCACCTAGGATACAGCACAGAGGGACAAAGAAACGGAAACATGGAAAAGAATGGATTCCAGGAGATCTAGCCCATGTCTACTTAAGTTCTCAAGATGGCAGCAAAGACAAAAGAGAGCGAAAGTAGTATTTGAAACATACTAAACACTGATTTCCTCGGTATTGAGTAAAAATGTATCAATCCACTCAAAATTTCAGGGAGGGTAAATAAAAGAAATCAACGTCCCAATAACTCACAACAAGACTACAGAATTAAAGAGAGAAGGAGACACACACACACAGACACACACACACACAGACACACACACAGAGACACACACAGACACACACACACACAGAGACACACACACAGAGACACACACACAGAGACACACACACACAGAGACACACACACACAAAGACACACACACACAGAGACACACACACACACACAGACACACACAGAGAGACACACACACACAGACACACACACACACACAGAGACACACACACACACAGAGACACAAACACAGAGACACACACACAGAGACACACACTCACAGAGACACACACACACACACAGACACACACAGAGACACAGAGACACACACACAGAGACACACACACACAAGCTTGGCTTCATTTTCAAGACGGTAACAGTAAGAGCAGGGCTGGGCGGCCAAAGAGCCCTGTCGCGCTACAGAGGACATGGGACCCTAAGAACAAGGCTGACGTGTACATCAGCAGCAGAAACTGATCTTGGGAAGTGGTTGGGGGCAGTACAGTGGAGCTGGGAAAAGTATGGGTGAAAATGACCAAAATGCATGCATGATTATATAGAAATATTAAATTATAAATAATCTGATGTTATCAAATATTAGATAATAAAATGCATTTTTTCTTTAAAAAAAGAATGGGGATGGACACTGTTACATCCAACAAATACACCAATTCAAAATGCACATTCAAGAAAATAAATAACACAAAAGTGAAGGTGAGGGAGGGGAAGGAACCAACAAAGGTGGGGAGACAAAAGAGAGGGTAATCAAAGAGATGTGGAAAAAGCAACTGATTAGACGTGTAAAAAAATGTCATAATGAATTAAATGAATTATTTTGTACCATAAATATGCCATTTCTAAAAAATGAAACTAAGGAGCTGGAAAGAGGGTCAAGTGGTTAAGAATGCTGGCTGCTTTTGTAGAGGACCTGAGTTCAATTCCCAGCACCCACGTCAGGTGACTCATAACCATCTGTAACTCCCAGCTTCAGAAAATACAAAACAAAACAAACAAAAAACAAATCCATTGCCCTCTTCTGGCCTCCTCAGGTACTACACTCACATGCATACACCCCACCCCCACCACATACCTAAAATTAAAAAACTAAATTAAAATTTAAAAATAAAAAAATTTAAAATGAGGATAAAACAAGCACATTTTCAGAACAACATTAGCTCTTTACAAAATTAAGTTCTCAGGGATGTATTTTAAACAAAAGGAAAAGGTACTGAATGAAGTCAGAGATGCAGAGAGAAAATCCAAAGCAAGGAATATTGTGACTATGTGGGCAAATCTACATAATCACGCCCCAAACCACTGTGGGTTAAAAATGAATAAATAAAGATGGATCCACAATACGGAATGCAGGATAGTTAAGCTCCAGACTTGAAAATCTCACATCATGCAGTAAGGACAGGGTTTACCCCACCCCACCCTTTGCTCTAACAAGCTGTGACACAGGGAAGCCACCCGCGTGCCGGGGAAGGTTTAGGCGGGACCGACAGGGTGGCTTTACTTTAATCTTCTCCTCGTAGTGCTGCTCCTTCTGTTTCAAGTGGACTTCCAGGTGCTGTGCTGAGACCTGAGCCTCCCGGTGTTTCTCCTCCAGCTCCTGGACACAAAAGAACAGTCAGTCAGGCGTGCTCGGGGAAGGGAGCCAATGCACAAGAGACAATCACAGGAGACACGACTGTCACAGCCACTGCAGCCACTGCAGCCACTGCAGCCACTGCAGCCACTGCTCCCTCCAACACTAGACTGAGGCTCTTGGGAAGAAAACCGCCAGTGTGTGGCCTTGGTTCTCCCAAGTCCAAGCAGACACACATACACACACATACACACACACACACACACACACACACGTACACACAACAGCTGGTGGGCTGTGAGGCCGGATCAGTTGGTGTGACAGGTCAGACAGGGGCAGCAGCTCCACTTTACACAGAGAAATAAAGGTAACAAGGCAACAGTCAAGAGTTCAGCATGGCACAGAGACCCTGACCACTGTCTTGAGCCTTGGGCTGTTTTCATTGTTAATGTTCATCAGCCTTAAATAAGAAAAGGGATTTTAATTTATTATGATGATATACAATACTTTGGGTCTTCCTCATTCATAAAAGCATTGCTCAAGAACCCGCGCTAATGTCACAATCAGCGTAAGTATAAAAATAACCATGGCGTTTGGAGTGATTATTGTAAATGACTGGCATGTGGAGAGTGTGAGCAGTGGAGACGGACATGTGATACGATGTTGACATGAAGCGGCACTAATGGGAATGGAGATGAACGTAAAACACAGCGATGACAATGAAGACACATGTACGTCCACGAGTGAGCAGAGAAGCTGGAGCCGGCAAACAGAGAGTTGTGGGCTCTCTTCGTTCTTTCATTGCTTTTTCTGCCTTTAAACAAAATTGTGATTCATTTGAAAATTACACCAACTTATTTGCCTGTGCATTTTAAACTGACCTCTTAGGAAACACAGCATCCAATTCACTTGCTAAAAGACACGCTAAACACAGGCACGATTGCATCGGAACCAGGAGTCTGAACCCATTAGTTAATTACTGATATTAGAAGTCATTACTCCCAAGTTCTCTTCTCTTCATACTCCTGTGAAATCCTCTATGAAGTCGAAGCAATGATAAAGAATTTCGAAGAATGAGTTAATTATATGGGATATGCCCAGAAAAAGGGAAGGTGGGGGGGTACTTTTGAGAGTCACAGGCACACAATGGCTCGCAAGTCTGCAGATACAGGCTTTGCTTTGAGGGTCGTTGAAATGCCCGGGCTCCAGACCAGGTGCACAAAACCCACTGCAATGTACCAGATGCACTCCCGGGAAGCTGAATTAATAAAAACATTTTGCGGGCTTTGCACATGTTCACGACAGGACTGCAGGCCTTTGACTGAAGCAGGGATGGTGCTGTAATGTGGCCCTCATCACCCCCTTTGAAACTTCTCATCACAATGGCAAGCATTTTAAAGCAAGGGCATTTTGGGAACTGCGTGCCAGCATCATCTCTATATGACGGCTTGGCGGATCATTCTTGGCCCATGTCCCACATACTCTGCAGCCTGAGCACAGGGTTCTTGAGCAAGAGGCATGTTCTGCTAAAATGAAGGCACAGACGGTCACACACAAAGGCACTTGGGCAGGTGACAAGATACATTCAGATCAAGAAACTTTACTCTTTGGTTACAAGGCACTTGACAGTCATCTTTCCTCGGGTTCAGTCCTCATAAGACGGCACAGAAGTGGGAACAGAAATCTAAAAATAGGTTAAAATACAACCCAGCACTCAGACAGCTGAGCCTGCCGGCTACGTGAAGGGTAATTTACAGTCCGGAGTCCGACTGACACCTCGCTGCTTGGGTGGTTTGCATTTTTTGTTGTTGTTGTCATTTTTTAAAACGTATCTGTTACGACACACATCAGAGCAACTCTTCCTGTCACGCAGCTACTGCTGTGCACTGCTATATTCCAGCCCCCGGAACAGTGCCTGGCACATAGTAGAAGCTCATTAAATATTTGTTGAATGAATGAATGAACACATCACCATTAAAGAGAGAAACACTTCGGAACCACAAGAGCTAAGCCCTTCGCTAATTGTTCGTTAATCAGGGAAGGGGTAACAGTGGCAGGACCTACCCTTACTCACAGTAAAACTCACACCATGCTTGACAAGAGTCGAGAGAGATTCTGATGACAGAATAAGAAATCAGGAGGGAGCAGACAACCACATCTGTCTTGTGTGCAGACACACACACATACACACATAAATAGAAAGACTGGGAGGCAAAGCCAAACAATTTAACCGATCCCTCTTTTATCCTTTTGCTCAAGAACATCCTTACATTGCAGCTATACCCAGAGAAATCTATCGGGTGTTGAAGAGTTTGTATTAAGTGCTACGCAAGCCATTCTTGCGTTCATACAGCTGCGGGCACCTCGGTTCCCACGGGTGAGGAAGAGAGAGATGAAGTGGCCCATTGACACCCCCCACCTCCTTCTAGGGGACAAAAGGGGATTGTGCATGAATCCCAAGTCATCCCTAAGCCTCTTAAATATTGACATCCAACTTCTGCCTTCGGATGGCAAAGGTGCTGCCTCCCCCCACTGCCACCGCCTGGCCTGGGAGGCGGGCGCATCATCATATCTACAGTCTCAGCCGCCAAAGCACACTTTCCCTGATTAAGTTAATTTGGTCATCAGCGCTGAAGACAGACTCCGAATGATGACAAACCTAAAAAAGCATGCTCCAGCTGAGGCCATGGGGTAAAGCACTAGTAAGAGCCAACCCAGCAGAGACAGTGTGTGGGTGAACAGCGATCTGCGGCAGCTACTACTCCGAGGAAAACAGTCCGTGTGACTCACTTCTTTCCGCTTCTAAAAATAAGAATTGGGGCTTTGGTCTTAGAAGTCTAAAACCCAATAGATTTTTGCACTGGTTTTGCCACATTAATGGCCAAACAAAACTCTACTAAAGAGGAGAACATCGGGTGGGAGAGGCGGGGAGATAGATGCACTATTTCATTCTGTAAAATGCCAGGTGACAGCAACAGCAAGGACAGGTCTATCACCGGGACTGAAATGTCCCGTGCTGGCTTGTCCATGCTCCTCTCCATGTGGCTCTCTCCGGTCACCTACTCGGCGACACCTCCCATGGGATGGCATTTGAACCTTCTTGCCCCCTTCCCTTTGAGACCTCTAGCCTCTTATCTTTGAACTTGGCGACTTCCACTCCTGCTCACCAGAATTTTATCAGCCATCTGCTGGATCTGTTGGGACTTTGTCTGGATGTCGTCCTTCAGTCTGTTCTCTCTACGCTCCATGGTCTCTAGTCTCTTTACCTTGTTCTCCAGAGAGTGGCGGCGTTCCTGTAGGTCGTGAATCAATCAGAGAGTTTTAATGGAGCAACTGCTGTGGGCATACCACCTGCACGGAGGGAAAGAGCCCTCCAGAGGCAGACACGCAAGTCGGGAAGAAAAAAATCTTGGGCACCTGAAGCAACGGCGAAGATGACAGCTCTAGAATCCGGATACTCAGCAGTATGGATTATAAGAGTGCATTCATTCATTCAAATATTTACCAAGCACCTACTATCTGCAAAGTACCACACTAAGCATCATGTGAAATACAGAGAGGAAGACGATGTCACTCTGCCCTTGGAAAACAAAGGACAAACAACAAACATATACAACATGGGTTAAGAGGGGGAGAACGACAGAGCACACACAAAGGACCGTGGGGACTGATGGGCAGGAAGGGGATATCTGAACGCACAGTTGAGGCATGAGCTCTGGAGACGCTGCAGGGCAGCTTGGAGTGAGAAGGGCAGGAGAAGACGGGCACGGGGGAGCAGGCCACTGACACACAACAGTCTTATGAACAAGAGAAAGCTTGGGGGAAACACAGAGGTAGTCAAAAGGCAATGGGAGTTCCAAGGCAAGTCCAGACTGACCACCACTGCAAAGGTTGGGGAAGTGTGAGTGAAAAGGAGCCAGCATTTGTGGGTCACATGGCTATTTCATAGGTCTCAGGTGTACCCAGCATCAAGGGGTACACCTAAGATACACAGAGACCCTAAGTTGGGCAGTGGTGGAACTCGGGAGTCAGAGTCAGGCGGATCTCTGTGAGTTCAAGGCCAGCCTGGTCTACAAGAGCTAGTTCCAGGACAGGCTCCAAAGTTACAGAGAAACCCTGTCTTAAATCCCCTCCCCCCCCCAAAATGAAACAAAACAAAAAGTAAAAGAAAAAGAGAAAGAAAAAGTATACAGAGACCCTCAAACACTGGGGATGGGCAGGAATACTTGGAGGTCCTCAAATATTATCCTGTGTGAGTTAGGAGGGGAGAAGGAAAGACCTGAAGCTGGAGGTCCAGAAACCGTTTCATCTGCTTAACTAGCAGAAAGACTCTGGACCACGAGGAAGGCTACAGAGAGGGCAAAGAGGAGAGGAAGCTTGTTTGTGTTTCTAGAAATCAGGGACTCGCTGCAGTACTGGGGTCACTCTGGACTTGAGGCGCTGTTCACACACATACTTGGGTTTCAGGACAACAGTGGGAGGCAGCCAGGAATGCAGGTGAGGACCCCAGACAGCCACATCACCGTGTACAGGCACAGTCACGTGGAGATTGTGGTGGGGAAGCGGAAAGACCAGGGACAGACAGACAGGACAGTGACACTGGTTGTGTACAATCAACTCCGAGACGAACAATGGGGGAGGGAGGCAGAGAGGCAGAGACGGCAAAGGAGCCTCACTTGGTACTCTCGATTTGTCTGCACTGTTTAAGTTTGGACAGTGAAAAGCCACTCGTATTTTCTGTATAATTATATAAATGATTTTAACAACAACAACAACAAAGAATCTGATGGGGAAAGGGCCCAAAACACAGGCCTGGAATCATCGATGAGGGTAACCAGAACACAGGCCCGGAGCCGCCACCGAGGGTAACCAGAACACAGGCCCGGAGCCGCCGAGGGTAACTCGTGAAGCAGTGGAGAACGGTCTGTTAGATCCGCATTGTGTTAGAAACGGCAAAGCACGGGAAAGAAACAGAAAACCACAGAGCAGCAGCCACCAGTGAGCCTAGAGAAAACAGAACCCAGAGCAGTCGAGAGGCCAGGGGGAGCAGCAGGACCACCTCAGAGCTGCTGAGATAGGCGTGGAAGGGTTCTTCAGAGGGGAAGAGGTTTGGTCAAACAGGAACAGTGATGTTTTAGTTTCTTTGCCTCAGCACAACCAGGATGAAAGGCAAGGTCAGCTGGGGACAAACAGCTCGCGTTGAGGAAAGGGCCCCGCTCACCTCGGCTTCAACCAGCTTCTTTTTGATGCCTTCGGAAGAATCTTCCCGGTTGTGCAGCTTCTCCAGCTCCCTCTCGGCTCGCTCCTTGGCCTGGCGGATATTCTGCAGGAGCTCAGTGGCCTCTGTACTAGCTTTTACAGCCTGGCAGGAGAAAGGGGGCAAGACATTGATGTCTACATGTATTCACGTGGGGGCAAAAAACGAAAACAGAAAAAGCAGGTGATACTGAGCACATCAGAGCCATTCTTCAAAACATACGCATTTACTTATTGCATATCTTGTATATATTAGGTACACTCTTTTTTAATATCACTGAATTTGAAATAAGTCTCATAGTTAAAATTGATGTACTTCTCTTTCTTGGGATGACTGACAATCTTTTGTTTCTCCAATTCAATGCAATAAAAAGAACCAAACAAAAAGGTACCCAGCATTAATCTAGTTCCTTCTGACTACTCTGCCTGTGGGGAACATGTAAATGATTTCAACAGGAAAACAAGGTAAACGCTGGCCGGGTTATGACTTTTCAAGGACTGTTAATAGTCTTGGGTCTGTGATAACCGACAAGGTAAAAAGAAAGAAGGTCAAGCCTCTTAATTTTGTCATTTATTGGCTTTGATTTGGGTCTACCCTGCACTACAGCTTTTACGGTAGTGTGGATGACATCTGAATTTAGGAGACAAATTAAAATGTAAACATATATACAATATTTACACATACATAGGATGCGTGTGTATGTGCGCATGTGTGTGTGCATGTGTGTGGGGGTGTATGTGAGCGTGTAAAGCATCCTCATACGTACTGTTTCAACTGTAATTTTAACAAGTGCAGCCAAGCGGCTGCTACGGGCCTGTGACCCCAACATCTAGAAGGGGGATAATGAGCTCAGAGCCAGCCTGGACTGCAGAGCAAAGCTGGTAAGAATTTTAAAAGTGGAAACTATAAGGAAACACCAATTCTAAGAGCTGTAATATGCCAATGGGAGCCAGTGGCCACAGGGCTACTGAACCCTGAAATGCACAAGAACACTCTTTTTATTTTTTTTAAAGCTAATTTTAATTATTTCAGTCAAATAACAAGAGACTCATTGCACAGAAGACCTCGATGATAAAGAGTGACAATTCCCAGAGAGATGTGTAGTCCGGCCACATGGAAGTGCTTAGTGACTTGGAAAGGCTAAAACAGAAATGCGATGCTATCGCTGTGGTTTACCACAGTACGTTTTTTAAAGAGGGAAAAACTGTCCTTATGAAACCAACCACCAAGCATGTGCATAGACAACCTGATGCAGAAATCATGTCCCAAACCACAGTCCCTGTCCGTCTGCTGGGCACTTCTGCGTTCAGCTAGAGGCTTTGAAATGTGGAGAGTGGACTTAATCGTCCCTATCCCAAAAAAGGGGAAGCTGTAACGAAGATGCTAATCACCCTGAACACACCCCAAGTGAACACAGCATCAGAACACCAGTGTGTACACTTCTGTCATTTGTCAATTATTCCTTAACAAGCTAAAGCAGGGTCCATAAACAAAACCACAAAAGTACAACTGAAGCAGGGCCATCAGTACAAACTGTGCCAACATCTCCCACACAGAACACGCACAACCACACCATGACACCAGGGAGCCATCGACAGTCCCCAGAGCAGGGATCTCCCATAGTCCTGGTAGAGGAGGAGCCAGGCTGCCCCTGCAAATATGCAAAACGAGAGACCTGCCCTCCCAAGGCACTAGAAGCCACTTTTGGGTTTCTGTTCCCAGAGTCTCACACAAGTTTGATTTTTAAAAACAAACACTGCAGGAACATCCCAAAAGAAAAATTTAAATCCAGAAGCCTGCTATCTGAGTAAGAGTACACACACCCTTCATCATCTTTCGTGCTGGTGACTGACAGCTTCTCTCTTCTGTACCGCTCTGAGGTGAGGCAGACAGGGACTTGGGAATGCGAGAGCCCCCTCACGGCCTCCTCAGTGGGACTTACCTTTTCCAGCTTCTCCTGGAGCTCCTGGATTTTGAGCTGCTGCTCAGCATTGATCTATAATTAAAGCCCGGGAGAGAGAACAGACGGCGGTCAGAGCCTGCTCTTGCTACCTGCGGCGTGGTCCTAGTTCCTCCAGGGTTCTGTGGAGCCTCTGGGCTTTGTTTTCTAGAACTTACTAGCCTAGAACACTGGCCTGTCAGAGAAGTGTGGGTGTGTCCCAACAAGAACTGCGGGGTGGACTATTGATTTCTGTAGGACTAGCAACATATAGGAAGATAACATGCCCTGTGCCTTAACACAAAAATTTACCAAGTGCCTGGGTAGATTTTACTGTGATGAAGTATGACACCCCACAAAAAGAGGAGAGAGAAAGGGGGAAAAAGGGGGGGGGGAGGCTGTTTTAGCCAGGCATGGTGGCCTGTGGCTGAAACCCCAGAACTTGAGAGAGGGAGTCAGGAAGACCAGGAATTTAGGTCATCCTCAGCCACACAGTGGGCATGGGACTAGCCACGACTACATAAAACTCTCATAAAAAACCAAAAAACAAACAAAAAAAACCACATTAAAACATAGCGGCATGAAGCATAGTGTAGCGGTCACGGTACATGCTTGCATCAATCCCCCTCACCAAAATAAATAAATAAATAAAATATGAAAGATGTATCAAGTCTCTACAAAAGTATTCTTACGTGGTAAGCAGTCACTGTTAATATTACAGAAACATTTGCCCCAAATAGTAAACCCAATCACAGAAGACACACCTTCTCAAGTTTGGAATATTCTCCCACTTCAGGCTTCCCTTGGTCCTTAGCCTGTAAGTAAAAAGATACAACGTATTTTGAAATCTCAACAACCCATGCACATCACCTGTTGTACTTCCTCGGTCTCTGTGACAACATTATAACAAACAATAATAATGTTATCTACAAATAAAGGGGAGTTTTCAAAAAAAAAAAAATCTCATTGTGTCTCCAACCTACACTCATTAAGCCAGCGTGGCCTTGCATCTTGTGAAGATCATCCAGGGCCGTGCCCCCAAAGTCCCCTCTTGGAGGGTGGCTGACTACCTTCATCAATTTGTGCTGACATTCGGTTGCCTTCCGCTTGAATTCCTCAGCGGCAAGCCGAGACTCTCTCAGCTCGGACTCGTACAGATCGCTGCGTCTCCGGGCGGACACGAGGTCCTCTTCCAACTGACTCATCATCAGCCTCATTTCTTCCACCTGAGCCTGGTACTCCTAAAGAGCGGAGAGAGGAAGGAAGGTGAAGCCCGAGCTCCACAGCAGAGGGTGGGCAGCGAGGCGGATGGAGATCAACCACTGAGCAGGATGTATGTTGGAAGAAACATGTCAAAGGACAGATGGGCAGACAGAGAAAGACGTGAGTGGAATGATCTAGAGACAGGGAAAACAGGGGGTGTTGGGGGGCGGGGAAGAGGGAAAGAATATTAAATTGTTTTAATGCAGGACACGTGTCTAGAGTAACCAACCCCACCAGGAACACACATGCTGAATCAGAGATGCTGAGCAAACAACTGCACAGATTTCAGAGAGCCCCAGGGATGAGCAGACACGCGGAGAGAGCTGTTCTCTGAACGAAGATGAACTTCGGTGTGGTTCTCCTCCAAGGTGCTTGTTTCTATAGATTTGTCCTTCGGACACCACGTGGTCCTAACACAATTAGATATGGTACTAGCTTTGAAATTAACCTTTCAGACAGCACCAGAGGGTAATTGGAAACCTCGGAGGAAATCATCTGGGAAGGTGAAACTCATCATTGCCAGTTTCTTACCATTAATTTTTCTGGGCTCAAAACGGAAGGTGGAGCTCAGCATTGCTCCTGCAACACAAGTCACCCTGAAATCTGAAGCGTCAAAAACACTGGACCGAGACAAAATAACCTGCAGGGGTGGGGGAGACTTCTCCCCCCTCCCCCAGCCAGAAAAATTATCTTGTTCCCTGGAGCAAAAGCCTTAAAATGATCCAAACAGTCCAATGTTTTCCAAAACGAATTTTAAAACCAAACCAGAACATTTGAATCAAGGCTTCCCACCACCTACCCACCCACACACATTGAGATTTACCAGAAGAAACAGGCAACAGCCTCGAAAACTTGGGAGCCAAGTATAGAAAGGCTCTTCAATAGCAAAACCAAGCTAAAGTCTGATGCCCTGTCTAATGTGACCAGGGATAGGAGATGGCAGGTAAAACATGAGAACAAGAAATTAAGCCAGCACTGTCTTTGGCATCAACCACGACAGGATGCTGGCTGCTGTGTTTTAATTCAGCAGATTGCAATTTAATCTTTGGCGATTTTGTTTTGTTACTGGAGATGGGATCCTACCTTTGCATGTGCTAAAGTCATCATACTTGAGTGGGAAGCTTTGTCTAACTACTGAGCCATGTGGCCTGGCCCAGTTTAGCCTCTGGTAAAAGCAGGGTGTTAGGTGCCTGTAGCAGATCCTTGCCCAGCAGACACTGGGGAGGTACTGCAAAATCTGCAGAGTTCAGCTAGCAATGTTCACCCTATGGGGGGGCATGAGCCAGAACAGGGAGGACAACACTTCCTCTCACCCAGCAGTGCATTGTGTCTAAAGGCCAACCTTAGGATCATGGGCACATGGGTGTCCTGTGTAGAGAGCTTCAGACATCTGACCTGGGACACAGGTCAGGTGAAATGGCAGAGCCTTTACTCAGGCTTCCTCGAGATCCTCTTTATCCGGGGATAACTTATGACTTTCATGACTCTTGACCCTTCCATCCATCAGAAAAAAAAGCGACACATGACACACGTCTGTAATGCCAGTACTTAGGAGCTCGAGGCAGAGGATCAGGAGTTCAAGGTCATCCTCAGACACAGAGCAAATTAGATGCCAGCCTGGGCTATATGGGACCCTCTCTCAGAAACACCCCCCAAAAAAAGCCCAAACCAAATACCATAAATTTACATACATGTAAATACACATACATACACATAAATATACATTACACATATACACTCAAGCCATATATTTTATATTACTAGACTTTCAGACTACATTCATATATTATTTGAATGTTAATATGATCCATAAGGAATACTTATGACCTAACAGCTCAATTTTTTAAATTTAAATTAAAAAGGAGAAATTGAGCCAGGTATGATGGCACACTGCTGTAATCTGAGCACTTGGGAGACAGAGGCAGGAAGATTCTAAGTTGAGGGCCAGTCTGGGCTACATATAATAGAAGATTAAAATATTTGAATATTATGTGATATTTATTATTCCAAATTATTTTCCCATGTCTGATACGTCATTGTGCCACCTTAAAAGTACAGTGGTCCCCTGTCCCCAAGCCTGAATGTAAATTACTGAGTGTAAAAAGGAGCCTGCCAGCAGATAAGACCCTTCAAGGTGTGAAGACAGCAAAGTTCTAGAAGGTCTTTGGCATATTTTGTACTCAAACTTTGCCTTAAAAAAAAAAAAAAGTATGGCGTGTGTGTGTGTGTGTGTGTGTGTGTGTGTTTGTGTGCGTGTGCACTATGGTGGAAGTCAGAGGAAGAAGATGGGTCTTTCCTTCCACTGTGAGGTAGCCCGGATCAGACCCAGGTCTCTATACTCAGAGGCAAGCAGCCTTATCCCCCAGGGCCATCTCACCAGCTCTCAAACTCCTTTTTTGTTCTCGAACTTGTGAAGATGTAACTTTTGTGTTTTTCAGTTCCCTGTCCCTACCCTGCCACCTCCATTTCCTGCCCCTGTTTGGCCCTGAAGTCCTGGCCAGCCACCAGGACGCTGCAGGAGGGTGCCGAGCACAGGCCATGGGGTCTGTGTGCAGGGGCAGCAGAGAAAGCCGCTGCAGCTCAGCATGGGATGACTCGCAGGCACTGAGGTGAATGGGTCAGAGCAGACAGAAACAACTGTCCGTCTTCAGCAAGCCTTCCACACGGAGCCTTGGGACTGTGTAGGGAGGAAGAGGCCCGCATGGTCCTATTCCCTAAAAGTCTGGGGGGCACAAATGACTTCTGAGAAGAAGAACTGTCACCGTTTTGTGGTACTGTAGTAAAGTACGAGAGGGGCCTGCTAGGCATACTCCAGAAGAAATAACTGGCTAAAAAGAGAAGAGCAAAACAAAAATGAGCAGAGATTCCTCTGAAATCCATGAGAAGCCAGTGTGCCAAAAACTAGTGTTTGTCGTAAGCCTTAAAAGCATCCTTTGTCTACAAACATTCCTTGCCTACCAAAAAAAAAAAAAAAAGAAGAAGAAGAAGAAGAAGAAGCCTTTTAAAACATATCCTTTTTTAATGAGAAGTAAAATCCAGAACCGAAAAGTTTTCTCTGCCCCCATCGAAACTTTTGTCAGTCATCTGAAACTCTCCACATGCATGCCGGCTGTGAAGTGAATCACAAAAGATGGCTCTGAACTCAACCAACAGCACAGAGCTTTTCAAAATGTCCTGATTAATTCTCTTTCTATGGAACGCATGGACACCAGCTGCTCCCTCTGGTGGCCAAAGACAGCTTTCATTTCCCCAGGATGTCCCCAAAATTAATTTCCAAACACAATGAACTGATGGGAGATAAAGAGCCCCACCTCCTGCAGTCTTCAGGATGAAGAAAATGATAAAGGGGTGTGAGTCACCTGTCAAAGCAGAAGTCTCAGGGCATGCGTGTGCCCTTCAGAGCCTCCCAGGGGATGCCGTGCAGAGATGTTATGACCCATTTGCAAAGTTCCCAGTGCAAATTCATTTATGATGTCCTTACACAGCAAGAGGGTGTCAACCTCCCACTTAAGAAATACTGAAGCCGGGCTGTGGTGGCACACGCCTTTTATCCCAGCACTCGGGAGGCAGAGGCAGGCGGATCTCTGGGAGTTCGAGGACAGCCTGGTCTGCAGAGAGAGTTCCAGGGCAGTCGGGCCACACAGTGAACCCTCTCAAAAAAACAAACAAACAAAACAAACAAACAAAAAAACAAAACAAAAATAAACCAACTTGAGGTGACAAGGAGAATAGCTAACAAGCGGAGCTATCTGCAGGGATCTCGCTGCGCCACCCAGAGAGGAGAATGCTCACTTCCACCAGTGCTCCCACTAGGTTTCCTGAAGTGAATGAGAGTCGCCTGGCAGCTGATAATTCAGCTCTCCAATTACTCATTTCCATCTCTTCATTAAAGTTTCTATTTACAGTGTCTTCAGAAGACGGAAAAAAAATCCAAGCTAAAAAGAAAACAATGAGGCGATATAAAAATGAGCCTCTGAAGAGAAAGCCCTGTTAGGAGGGGGGCTGCCTAAAGGTCTCCGTTCTGTTCTCTTCTGGAAACTCGGGGGAGTGGGATTGTGTACCCAGATTTGTTATGTTAATTCTGACTGGGGTGTGTCCATGAGCGTGTGAATGTGTAACTGAATGATCGTGGTCTCTTGACAATGGAAAGTACATCTGAAAAGCTATAAAAATACCAAATTCTTTTGGGACCATCCAAAGTGGAGGTTGGTAAACTTTTGGTAAAAAGTCAGAGTAAGAAGTTTTGGCTTTATAGAAACACACTCTTTTGCCTCTGTGGTATCAAAGTCACGATAAATAAAATGAGCATGATTGTGTCCCAATAAATCTTTAGGCAAACTGAAATTTGATGAATTTTTCAAAATTACATGCCACAAAATAATATTCTTTTTCTTTTTTGTCTGATCATTTAAGGACACAAAAGTCACTTTTGGTCTGAGAGCCACAGAAAATATGTAAGAGGCCAGACCTGTCTGCGCACTGTATTCTTTATTAAAAGCAGGAGATATTATGGGTTGAGGCCTTTAAAAAGGGCAGAACAAGCAAGCTGGTGTGATCTATACAATCACGGAGAAGCTAAAGACTTCACATGGTTGCCTGCCTTTCTCTAGGTTTCCACCCTTTATTCCTACAACCTCCGCCTCTCAAACATGTTGACGTCAACCACAGGGCCACTGGGCTCTGAGGGAGCGGCCATACCTGCTCCTTGATCTCTTGGAGCTTCCGGCTTTGCTCTCTGATGTCATGGAGAAGCTGCAGGGCTTTGTCATCCTCCTGGGACACCTCCATCCGTGCTTGCTCCAGACTTCGCTTTAAACTCTGCAGAAAGCAAAGGTTTTAATAGGGATGCCCGTGGGTCCTGCTCTGGCTGAAGAGATTCATCAGGACAGCTGCAAGCTGCTTCGGAGACACCGGCATGGTTTCAAGTGACAGACCAGAGCGGACACCTCCAAGTGGTTGCTGATTCCATTTCTCGCCCTGTAAAAGCCACTTGGTGGAAGAAACATCATCGAAAGCTCACAACCTTACGGGTTGAGCCTGAAACTCTACCAGCTAGTAGCCTGGCGTCAACTACCTATCCTGGCAGATACTTACGTGTATGGTCCGGACTGAAAACCAGTAAGATCCTGTGTCTCCTACAACCACCCCCTCCATGACTATCTAGTGTGTTCCAGACTAGGAAAAGCTCTTCCAGACTCTCAAGTGCATACGTCTGTTTCAAAGAAGCAACCGTTTCATCGTCTATGCGGCTGCTATTTCAGAGTCCAGTCGACTGTCTGCCTCCTGACTAGCCTATCATCCATCCGTTCCCCTCTGTGCTCCAATGGCACTGACAGAGACATCGGAGAGACAGATGGATAACTTCACCCACCACTGAGAGGTAGCCAACTCTGGAACACAAACACCGCAGTTATTCTTAATCAGCCACATTCCATAGATTTCCTCTCCCATGTGTAAAAAATAAAAGACTTTATAAATGTGTGACTCAACCTCTTAAGAGTGTTTAACTGGGCACATCAGAGAAACACCTGAATGAAAAATTCCACGAGACAATGGAGAAGACAGTCTACGCTTGTGAAGGAAAGGAAAAAATGGAACTGTATGAGAAATAATGACAGAGGGCCTGGATCTCAGGGGCGGAATCTCCTCGGCACTACCGTGCTTCTAATTGAATAAAAAATTGATTTCCAACAGATTCGAATTATGTTTTCTGGTACAGATTTGGGAGTTTGTCCTCAAAGCTGATCATGTCGACACAGCGTAGACCAGAGAGGTTGGGACAGGAGAAGCCAGAAGTCTCTGCGGAAGGCTTTAGTGACAGCTGACTCCCATCTCCAGGATCTGAGATGTCCAGCAGTCAGCATGGGCTTTTTGTTGAAAACCAGTTCCTTCCTAGGGACCTCACACTCCCTCCTGCTACTCTGGCAGTCACGGATCTCGCAATCTTTTCTACCCTGTCTGTCTCTACTCTCTGCCATTGGCTGTGATGTGCCTCATGGAGCTGTCATGAAACAGGATGAGACACACACAACAGGAAGTGCCGCCTCCGAGGGAAGGGGGGCTTTGGGGAAGGCTCACACTGCATTCTGTGATGTAGGTGGCAAGGTCCTGCTCCAGGAGGGATCTCTGAGTCTCAGAGGCCTTCAGTTCCACCTCCTTCTGACTAAGCACAGCCTCCACCTCTGATACTCTCCGATGTAACCGGGTCATTTCCTGCTCCATCTGAAATAAACACATGGGTGGGTTAAAAGGGCCCAAGGAGGTTTCGTGGGAGCAAGCACATCTCAAGCAGGCCCCTAGGCCACCTGGTGGTCTGGGGTGGGGGGGAGGGGTTACCGCTAATTCGCCAAGAGCTGGGATGAAAATACCATTGCTTCTTCGCCCGGGAGCACACAGTTCTTCAAAAAGACAGTCACCAAACGCTAGGTCACTCCTGTCATCCAAGTCCCGCTTCGCACGATCACTTCTCTAACCCACTTAGCAAAGGAGCCACCATCATTTTCACCTTTTTTTTTTTTTTTTTGGTATTGGTTTGGCTTACACAGATGTCACTTTAATTTTATATTTTATCCTAAATCCATCTTGATCCCCCCCATCTCCTTGCAAAGATCTAGAGGAAAGATCCAGAACAAGGCTGCGGGATAATTATTCGTCTGCACTCTTAGGAGTCCCACACAAGCAGTGGTTTTTATTAAGTTTTCAGAGAGTTGCCTCTGGGCAGGAACAGTGAGTATTAACAGACGCTGAGCATAATCAACACAGTGGCCGCAGTGACATAGGCAGTTTAAAAGACTAGGAAGAGAGACTTCGCCTCACTCCGAGCAGATGGGTTGCATCTCAGCCACAGGTGAGGACCCAGGCCACCTGCTGGAAGAAGCAGACATCGGGCTGGGTCATGCTGAGACACAGGCTGTTTTAAATCCAGGGTCTCCTCTGGTTAAGATTTAAAGGATTTATGGCAACGTCTAGGCCCGAATTCATCTCCCTCTGAGCTGCTGGAGGTGCGGCTTCAGCGAGGGAGGCGGCACCTCGCTCTCTACGGATCAGGAGGCTCAGGGCCAGCCGTGGCCCCCGGCGGATCCCTTGGCATATATTGGCGGGAGGATCCTGGAGCAAGGACGGAGGCCGGCTGCGGAGATAAATACCTTGTGACACTTGTCCTGCGAGTCTTGCAGCTCTTTGCTTTTGATGAGAAGTTTCTTTTCCATGGAGCTAGTCTTGGCAGGGGAGTCCAGACCCGACACAACAGACCTAAATGTAAAAACAATAATTAAAAAAAAAAGTCAAATGGTATGCCCGTCAGCCCGGGAGCTGTGTTCAGACACTGCAGCAGAAATGGCAGACCTGCCCGCATTCTGCAGCGAAGCTGGCTCAAACACCTTCCAGCAGCATTAAAACCACGCAGGGGGCAAGGAAGTAGCAGGAAGCCAGGGCGGTGGCAGGTAGACTTGGTGGGGAGTCAAGGGAACCTGGAGCCAAAACTGGCTTCTGGGAGCCCTGGTTTGCATGGCTGTCCAGTGGAATGATGAGAACAGAACTTGTCACACAAGAAAGTGTGAGCATTCATCGCACAGCCTGGGCCTGTGTTACTCCCTTCACTTACACACTCAACAGGTAGAGTGCACATGCCACACGGGGCCCCGCTCCTCCCAAAGCTGATGTTTCAGGGAGAGAAGACAGAACGCATCAGGAAACAAAACGCTTCTGGCTGAGAGAGACTTGAAAGGAGAAACAAGAAACAAGGGTGTGGTCTGATGACACGGTGGAACGAGAGAGGCTGGGGATGAGAGGAAGTGTGATCCAGGAGGGCTTCTTAGAGAAGGTGGCATCTGAGAATGAGAAGGTTCTAGATACAAAAGGATCTAACAGGAAGGAAGCAGCGGGGACAGGGGACAGCAGTCATGCTGGCTCTGAGGCAGGCCAGACGTGACCGAGCGGTGTGCTGCAACAATACACTATGAAGTCTGTCTGTCCCTCCCCCAGCTACCCGCTTCCATTCTGTTGTGTTTGCTGTAAACAGCTTGTGCTTACGGTGATGAGCCAAATGGCGTGCTCACTCCCTTCTCCCAAATGCCGATGTCCAATCCAGAAGCTACGAAGACCACACATGAACACTCAGTAGCTGTGATTAAGTTAATGATCTTGAAATGCAGAGATTATCCTGGATTACCTGAAAAGGTCCAATATCCTCCCCACAGAAGTTCTCAAAAGATAGAAACAGGGGTGTGGGGGACAGAAAGCCAATCACAGAGGCAGGGCACAGGGCCAGAGATCTGACCATGCTACACAGCTGGCTTACAAGAGGCAGAGGCAGGCTAGGACGGGTGTCTCCGCTGGTGAAGTGCTCCGCTGGGCAAGGGTGAAGAACTGACTCAGAATCCCTAGGGCCCACATAAAGCAGAGCACAGAAGTGTGCATGGGTAACTCAGTGTTCTACAGCAAGGTAGGGGACAGAGCCAAGAAACTCCCTGGAAGTGCCCAGGTCTATGGAAAGCAAAGTAAGCGGCCTATCTCAAACTAGGTAGAAAGCAAGGACCAACACCTAAAGTTGTACCCTGTCCTCCACACAGGTGTCATGGCGCGCACGCACGTGAACGAACACACACGCGCACACACACGCGCACACACACACACCATACACAAACATCAAGATAGGGAGCCACCAAATCACGAACGGGTGGACCCTAGGAGCTGGATAGGATGAGGAGGCTAATTCTCCTCAAAATCCACAGGCAGAGCACAGCCTCATCTAGGCTATCTTGAGCCAGAAGAAACTCACATGGAACTTCTAACTCCCAGAACTGTGAGATAGTGAGTGTGTGTTCTTCCACGCCTCTGGACCTGTGCTGACTTGTTACAGCACCAGTGAGAAACTCATACACTCACAGAGCTCTGGGACGTACCTGGTGCTCTCTGAACGCTAGACATGTTTTAATTCTCTATTCCCCACAACACTCTGAGGAAGACACAACCTATTATCCTCATGTTACACATGAAGAAAGTGAGGCACAAAGAGATTAAAGAACCTGCTGGTTGACAAATGGTTTCTGTTAGTCTACAGGAAGGGAGAGACTGAAGGGTTAAATGCACCTGATGTCACGCTTAGGAAACATTATAAAAATTGCATGACAAGCTATGTAGGGAGTGGACTAGAAGGGCTCTCTCCCACATGTGCAGGTGTCCTGAGGTTAACTAGGGATGGACATGAGAATGATTTAAACACTGGGTGAAGGAAAAAAGCCAAGGCCATAGCAAGCAAGCGTTCTTATGCATAGAGGGACATGGTGGTGTCCACTGCTGCCCACAGTCCCATCTTTGTTGCCTTGGTAACAGGACTGCAGGAGCTGCTTACTGAGGAGCACTCGGGGTCTTCCCAGCAGGCCAAAGTTCTGTTTTCTGCTGCCCCAGACTACTTCTCAGCCTAAAAGAGATCAGCCCCCTGCAGCAATGTGAAACACCTCCCTGCTACAGCTGCCAACCCAGTGACAGGGTGGTGTGACAGCTCTCTGTACGCAATGGCGGGCAGGTGGATCAACAACAGGAATCAGGCTGTGCTGGGTGCAGTCTGGCCCATCACTTCCAAGCTGTGTGGCCTCCCTAACCTCAGTTGCTGCACCTGTAAAATGGGGTAATTCTCAAATCACCCCAGAGTCCACACAACAATTCAATGAGATAGTGCACGTTGAGCCCCCAGCACAGCCCTGGCACACACAAATGTCAACCATTACTATGACTGGTGCCATTTTTATCACGATCCCTACAACTCTGTAAATAGCTCATGCCTCACAGTTGCTTGAAATGGTAACACTCAGGGGGCTGAACGTGCTGTGTGCTATTGTTCACATCAAGACAAACAAGGATTATTCATAGAAATGGGCAACAAGGATTAAAATCCAGAAATAAATCTTTTTTTAAACTCTCACATTGAGCTAGAAATTTTAACACTTCTCACAAGCCTATATACTAGCCAAAATACACACACACACACACACACACACACGCACGCACGCACGCACGCACACACGCACACACTCTTCCTGCCTTCACAGTGATTGCTTGAGATGGCCTTGAGTTTCCCTCATTACTAACTGTACTTTGGTGGGCAGGCTAGAGACAAGTCCCAGACCACCTGAGCAGGGAGAGATGGCCCCTGATCCTGTAGTAATCGAGGGCCACCCACATGTCACAAAGGGACACCCAGGATGTATATCAGGGACGACAACACAGGTCGCAGTTCTTCGCACCCGGTAGACAAACTACTGCATGGATTTTCTGATACGGAGTGGGATGTGGCTCACAAAACTCAACCACACGTGGAGGGCAGGCTCCAGTGGAGCTTAATGTTGAACATTCGCTGCTGTGGGTATAAAACAGATTGCTTATTCACCAAAAAAGAAAGAAAGAAAGAAAGAAAAGGCATTTCTAGGCCACTGGTTAATGGGGCCCAGGATCCAGAAGAGGAGCACTCACGGGAGACAATGCAGCCGTCGCCCCAGGTCCACTCGCTCACTCTGCTATTTTGATGCCTGACAAACGTTCACATTTAAGAGTTCTAAGTACGGCAATTAAGAGCTCTTCAGAATAAATATGCTAAAGAAGTCTCTTTTTTTAAGGATAAATAAAAATCACATCTAAAAAGAAAACTCTGGTAGGAATGCTGCAACTAAACAAGGCCCATGGCAACAGCTGCGGACGGAGGGCAAGGGTCATCGAAGCTTTGGGCAGCTTCCTGTACCCCGACCCATCACTTGGAGATGGCGTGCTTGTAGCCCAGGCTGGGGGCAAGGCCCACCCAGACCAGTCCAATCTGGGCAGGAACTAAAGGCTCGGCCTGGCAGTGTCATCTTTGTTAAATTTCATGATGACTTGGAAGGACAGTCAGGATTGGAAACAGGAGTGCTAAGGAGAAGAGCGTGCGTGGTTTCAAGTTGACGCTTTCCAGTGTGGCCAGCCCGGGCATTTGTTCCCCTGTGGCACTTTGGTTAGGTGAGGACAGCACTTTGTGTTCCTCCTTGAGTGGGAACTCAGCTCTCAATTTCAGGACAAGTACAAGCATTAGACAATGATTAAGAACAGCATTCCAGCTGGGCGGTGGTGGCACAGCCTTTAATCCCAGCACTCGGGAGGTAGAGGCAGGCGGATCTCTGTGAGTTCGAGGCCAGCCTGATCTACAAAGTGAGTTCCAGGACAGGCTCCAAGGCTACAGAGAAACCCAGTCTCGGAAAAATTAAAAAAAAAAAAAAAGCATTCCATATCATTTAATATGTCCATTACTTTAGTTATGTAGCATGTGTACATGTGTGCACCATGATGCACATGTTTAGAGCAGAGGACAACTTGAGGGAATTGGCGCTTCCCTTCCATCACGTGGGTTCCCACAATAGAAGTCATGCTTATCTACTGGCTGAGTTTGCTTCTTTAAGACAGGGTCTCCCTGTGTAGCCTAGGCTGGCCTCAAACTCATGATCCTTCTATTTCAGCCTGCAAAGGGCAGGATTATAAGATGCCCAACTTTGTACGTTAATTTAATTACAGCATCTCCATGGGTTTCTAAGGGGAAAAAAGTAAAGCCAGGTATAGCTCAAAACCCTTACATGCTGTTTATCTTTCATGCAGCTAAGGTAATTCAGTTCACAGTCCCCGTGACAAGCTCCAACAGAAATTGTTTAAAGGGTCTTTTAAATTTATATGTATGAGTGTTTTGCCTGAGAGAGTCTACGTGTACCAAGCACACGCAGAAGCAGAAGGAGGCCAGAAGAGAGCAAGCATCAGATCCCATGGAGCTGGGGTGAGAAGTGGTTGTAAATACCAGGTGGGTGCTGGGGACCAAACCTGGGTCCTCTGCAAAGGCGGCAAGTGCTCTTAATCATGGAGCCCACTCCCCAGCCCCCAAATATGCATTTCTCAATGCAGCAGAGCCACATGCCCCAGCAACCATTCCGAAACATCAGCACAATCCATTGTCTCTAAGACGCCACAGCCGTCTTTCTGGTGCAGCGAGTGCTGTTGGCGTAAACTGACCATAATGTGAAGGAACCTGAGCTTGGGAGGCCACATCCAAGCTCGCCCAGGAGCAATCAAACCATCACCTCACACAGCTCTGTTGTTCAAACAGGTCATGGGTCTAAGGTCTTCCCAAAATTCAAACATGGCAATATCTAAAGGTTATATTGCTGAAGGAAAGTTTAAAACCAAACAAGATCACTCCCCTACAAAGTTCATCAAAATTCTGAGGCCATAGTATATGCCTG